ACCTGTGTGATGCCTGCCCCAGGATGTAAATGCTGAAAGGAGAGTACCAACTCCCTAAAATCACCCTAGACTTCCACAAGGCACACAGACGGCATATGTTCTCACACACACACACACACACACACACACACACACACACACACACGCACGCACACACGCGCGCACACACACACACAGTAAATAAATATGAAGGCCCTGATCTACACCAGTTACAAGGTACAATATTAAAATTTAATTCTGAAGTGGCATGTCAAATTAGGCAGAATGTATTTTACCTTTTGTTTCCCGAAGGGTAGCCACGAATGTCTGTTTGTTGGTTATCTTCTGTATATGTTTTTATGCATTCATACGAATCACCTATTTTGGAAGTTTGGATAAAGGTTCATGGTATACTTGAGCTTCTGTAAAAGTCCTACTGTACCAGGGTTTCTAGACAGAAGCCAGGGCTCCAGCAGCCCCGACTGACTAGGCGTGACCAGCTCCTGAATAAACGTATTAAAAGGACCAGTGACGGAGAAAAGCAGAGAACACAGATTAATTCAAATGGCCACATCAGGAAGAGGACAGGGTTCAGTGACCAGGGCTGGAGAGACGGCTCAGTGGTTAAGAGCACTGGCTGCTCTTGCAGAGGACCTGGGCTTGATTCCCAGTACCCCCATAGTGGTTCACAACTGTTTGTAACTCTAGTTTCAGGGCACTAAAGACATCTATGAGAGCCCTGGACCTTGGACCCAAGACAGAAGCTGAGAAAATAATAAGCAAAATGGATGAAGGACAGGAAAAGTGACTTCTAGTGACTTCGACACAGATGACTCAGAAAATGTCTGAGGGAGACAGAAACCCTGAAAGCTTTCCCACTCCGGTGATGCCGACGCCGGGAAGCCGCCATTTATAAACCTGAAGTGCATGCTGAGTTCAGCAAGAATGTGATCAATGAGGTGCTGCAGCCCGCGATGCAGGAGGCTGACGGAGATGGAGAGGTGAGGAAGCGAGAGTTCCTGGGCAATCATGAGTAAACCAGCCTCAATCCCTGTTTCCATGGGACCGCAAGTGTCTGTGAAATCTGGCTTCAGAGGATACAAATGCACTGTTTAGAAGTTTGCCTTGATATTAACATTCTTTGTAAAAATCACCTGCTAATTACTTTAATTCTAGAAAGCTGAGCAAGAGTGCATTAGAATGGACATTGTTTGTTTGCTTTTGTTTCTTTCTTTTAAAGACAGAGCTTCTCTGTGTAACAGCCCTGGCTGTCCTGGATCTCACTCTGTAGATCAGGCTGGCCTCGAACTCACAGAGATCCACTTACCTCTGCCTCCTGAGTGCTGGGATTAAAGGTGTGAGCCGCCACCACCCAGCCAGAAGAGGTCTTAAAGTCTACCTGTCTTATATCGCCTTATTTTTTGTCATGCATTTCCACTTAAGTGCAGACACAAAATAATTTGTTTATTTGTGTTTCGGAGGAGAGCAGAAAGAGAGATGCATGTGTGCAGGTCACGTATGTGGAGGTCAAAAAACAACTTGTAAGAGCTGGTTCTCTGTTTCCACCATGTTGGACCCAGAAATCGAACTCGGGTGGCAAGTGCCTTCGCCTGCTGAGCTGTTTTAGCTGTTCCTCAATAGTTCCAGCTTTGAGCTGATATCTGAGCAGTTTTTCAAATTGTTACTATAGTTATTATTTGAGTGTGTGTTTGTATGTGTGTTTGTGTCCGTGCAGAGGTCAGAGTTCAATACTGGGTATTGTTCTTTTTTGGAGACAGGGTCTCTCACTAGGGCCTGGGGCTTGCCCATTAGGCCAGGCTGGCTGGTTAGTGAGCCCCAGGGAGCCACCTGTCTTGATCTTCCAAGCGCTAGGACTGCAGGCGTGAGCCACCACGCTCCGTGTTTAACATGGTTTCTGGAGCTCGAGCTCAGGTCCACACGCTTGCAGAAAGAGGACTCTACCAGCTGCGCCATCTCCCTAGCTCAATATTTCTCTTATAAAACCCACTAGGGGGCAAGGGAAAGGGCCCAGTAGGTAAACCACTTGCTTACTATGTACCCACGAGAACCTGAGCCTGGATCCCCAGTACCCATGTGGAAAGCTGGGTGTGGCAGCCCGCATCTGTAACTCTAGAGGTGGTGGAGAGGGAAGAGACAGGTGGGTCTCTGAAGCTCACTAGCTGGTTAGTCTAGCTAAATAAGCTCTAGGGAGAGAGACCTTGTCTTCAAACCCAATAAAGGGGAAATCAACTGAGAAAGACAGTCAACATTGATCTCTGCTGTCCAGTCATGCACACACATGTGCGTGTGTCCTCATACATACACACCGATAAGACACGTACTTATACCATTCAAAGATGTTTTTTAAATGAACACACACTATGAAATCTGGCTATATAGCAATGCTAACTGTTTTGTCTTAGAATAAAGCCTTTCTTAGTTATTAGAAAAAAAGTGTGTGTGTGTGTGGGGGGGGACGACAAGGAAAACTGAAGTCCAGATTCACTTATAAACAGTGCCAAACCCTAACAAAACATTGCCAGACAAAATTCAACTGTGCTTTGAATAGCCAACTTAGGTTTGTTCCAGGAATGTAAGAGTGATTTCTTAAAAATAGGGCTGGGAATGTAGCCCAGGGGTAGAGCACTTGCCTCATGTGTGGGAAGTCCTGGGTTTAATCCCGAGCATCACAAACACACAGTTATCCCCCAACTAATGTAATTCACAACATTAATTAAAGGGAAAAAAATCATACAATCATCTCAAAACAGAAAAATCTGACACAATTTGGCATCTGTTCATCACCAAAATGAAGCACTCTCTGGAAACAGAGATTAAAAAAAGAAGCTGATTAACCTGATTAAGTCTGTAAAACCTACACCATCTCTACTATGTGACAGCCGCAAGCATTCTCTTTGAGATTACTATAACATAAGAAGGCCTATTGTGCCTGGCAGTGGTGGTGCACGCCTTTGATCCCAGCACTCAGGAGGGAGAGGCAGGTGGATCTCTGTGAGTTCAAGGACAGCCCGGTCTATCTATAGAGTGAGATCCAGGACAGTAAGGGCTATACAGAAAATGAATGAATAAATGAAGAATGAATGAGTGCATGCATGCCTATTACACCCTTTCTATTCAGTATTGTATGGAGGTTTCTAGTCATCATAGTAAAACCTTTTGCCCCCAAAAAGGCATGATTAATTTCTGAAAGTCTAAAAGTAGAAAAAAACAAAGTCATCACTATTTGTAGATTATAAAATTATTTACAGAAAACTCTAAAGAGAAATTTGAATACAAATTATCAGAAGCAATGAGCAAGTTAAGAAAGCTAAGTACACAGTATACTAAAATACAAAAGTCATCAATATTTCCACATACTGCAAGCAACTGCTTACAAACATAATTCAAAAAAGAGCCCACTGTCATGATAAGACATTTCCCAAATTCACAGAAATTATATACGTAAGGTTTTTTATGAAATACTAAATATATTTTCAGAATTTTGCAGGGAAAAAAAACTATTAGTAACTGCAACAAAATATGTAGAGTTCTTAGGAATCAATCTGGTCAAGTGAGACACTCCAACCCCACACTCAGAAGACTAAGGGTAGCCTGGGCTAGAAGAGGGCGGAAGGTCAAGTTGGACTATATAGTGAGATGCTCCCCTGCTCAAAAAAAAATAAACCACCCCAAAATCTCAATAAAGAGACTAATCTAACATATATAACACCTTTTCTTTTTTTTTTTTTTTTGTTTTTCGAGACAGGGTTTCTCTGTGTAGCTTTGCGTCTTTCCTGGAGCTCACTTGGTAGCCCAGGCTGGCCTCGAACTCACAGAGATCCGCCTGGCTCTGCCTCCCGAGTGCTGGGATTAAAGGCGTGCGCCACCAACGCCCGGCTATAACACTTTTTCTAGGTCAAAACCATAAAACTTTACTTAAAGGCACAAAAAAGCATTTAAGTGAAGGTCATGTTTGCAGAATAGAACATTAAGTATTATAAAAATGTCAATTCTCTCCAATTTGATCTTTGGGTTCAAAAAAATCAGTAAAAACCTGAACAAAATTCCTAGAAGAATCCAATAAGCTGATCATAAAATTTGTAGGAAACAAGAGAGGACAAGAATAGAGAAGAGAGTCCTAAAACATATTACTGTCTCTATGGTAACTGAGATAGGGTGATTTCTGGCAGAGGGATGATAGCCAATTTGGCCAAAGGACAGAATAAAGATCATCAGTCTGTGTACGTTTGGAAACGACTTTTTTCTTATTTATGCAGTATCAGAGGCCTGACCCAGAGCCTGCACATGCTATGTGAATGCTCAACTACATCTCCTCGGCTCTGGAAATTTTAATTTTGACAATGATAGCACTAACAATAGGACATGGGGGAAATGAATTATTCTGCAAAAAAATGACTTTGGAAGCAAGTTATTGTTCAAATGCAGATTGGTGTGCGTAGGTGCATGTACATGTGTGTGTACGTGCGTGCGCGCGTGCGTGCGTGCGTGCGTGCGTGTGTGTGTGTGTGTGTGTGTGTGTGTGTGTGTGACTAATTCAATATCACACCACACGACAAAAATCCATCTCATATGAACTGCAGACATATGTAGAAGAAACGGCTTCACAACTTACACTCAAGAATGACCATGAGCTGTTACACTGGGCTGCCTTTCGTCGATCTGTGTCCTTAAGTTTGAAAAGATAAAACCCAGTAGACTTGCGTTCCCTTGCCATGTGACTATCCAAGCTAAGTCCCCATGGGTTTCACGGGCACAGAGCAGACATGGCGGCCACACTCAAGGAAGGGAGGACACACAGACAGCGGTGGAGAACCCACTTCAACGCCCATAAACGCTCTTCGGCGCACTCGTGTTTCTGGAGGCTGCTGCACTGTTTTGGCTTGAGGAAGGCAGAGTGGTCCGCGCAGACGCGGACGGTGGCTTAACGAGATCAGCACTTGAAGTTAGAGTCCCCAGCAGAAAGCCCCATCTCAGCACCACCCATGCAGCCGTATACTTACACTATATGTGCAAGGTCAAGTGGTTTCTCTGGTTGCTCAGGAAAAACAGGATGTGGGGGTTCTCTGGAGGGGACACAGCCCAAAGATTTACTAATTGCATGGCTCAGCTTCTTTGCAGGGGATTTCTGTGTCAAAGGAGAAAATAAGGAAATGAGACCTTTTCAAGAACAAATCAAATTTCACTGCAGTCAGTGTGACTGGGCCTCGCAGAAAAGAGCCAGCCAAGCTCTTGACGTCTCCCTCCTGCGGCTTCTTCATTCCTGCGGTTCCTCGCTTCCTACACCATAAAGTCACATTATCAAGTGATGGGGCTAAAGAGACATGGTAAATGTCTTCTGGTTATCTATACATATTGGGAGTCCCCACCCCCCTTTTTGAGGCTTCTGGGTCATTTCTGGTAAGATATTAGGGTAATTCCTACTGGGGGAATTTTTTGATTCCCCCAGTAAAATACAAAAAGGCTGAGACAATGAAAAGAGCACATGTTAGCAAATCAATTGTCTAAATGCTAGAATATTCCAAATAAGAGCAAGGCAGACCGGTTACTGTAGTGGAAGCCTGTAATCCCAGCATTCAGGAGGTGGAGGCAGCAGGATCAAGAGTCCAAGGTCATCTATAACCACTCAGTTAATTTGAGCCAGCCTGGGCTACATAAGTCTCTGTCTTGAAACAACAACAAAAAACTGTGGCAGAATATTTGGCATTAAGGGTCTGTCAGGGCCAACAGATTTAAACAAGTGTAAGTCTATATACAAGCTGTGAGCACTAGACCTGTGACGATAGATGATAATGTACTACAAGGTACAGAAAAAAAAAGTTGGAATTCTATTGATTTCTCTGGAAAGCAGAAACATCAATTCCCAAGATTGTTCATTGAAATAGTACATGTGCACAAAGTGAATAAAATTTCATAATTATATTGAACAGAATATTCTATTCTATAGCCCTTACTTAGTCTGCCTCTTGCTGTTTTTTTAAGATGGCAAGTAAACCCAGGGTCTCATACTTCTGGGTTATATACACCCACAGCCTCTGAAAATTCCCATAGAGGCTCTTTATATATACTGTATGCTGTCCATCCAATTCCCTTTAAATAACACTGCTGTCTGAGATTTTGGCAGGATATTAATGAGCAATAAGTTTGAATATTTAAGTCTGCTGTCTATACAATTTATTATCAAATGTGACACTTGGAATAGAAAGTATAGCTGTGTGCAGCTATGTGGCTCATCAATACTGCATTCCCACTTATCATTTATTAATGGTACCCACGATGGAGCTCAGATTGGCCTTCAACTTGCAATCTTGCTGCTCAGCCTCAAATGTTGGACTTACAGGCATTCACCACTATTAAACTTTTATATTCTGCTCGCTGTATTTTAACACCACATAAACACAAATCTGTTTTCCCTTAAGACCATATAGGCAAAGTCAATATTTGATTATGATAAAGTCAATACCAGCATCTTCAGAAACTGTGTTTTGGATATCTTAGCAACCACGGACCCTTCAACCCATTTTATTCTGGGAAAAGTCTACATCCAACCTATTTCCCCTCAAGTTACATAGAGCAAACCACAGTAGGAATTCTGACCTTCCTCCCTCCCTCCCCCTGCTCTCTGCTCCTTTTCCTTTCACTGACAAGTGGCCATGCTTGCTGCAGGCTCTCCCCTCTAGCCCACCCCTGGTCCTAGAGAGCAAGGCCTTCTCCTAGTAGCTCTCACGGGCTAATAATCCATACACACCAAGAGCTAAAGGAACACCATCATGTTCCACACAGGCACATGCATTCCCAGCCTGCACCTCTCTCATCTCCTACCCCCAAGGAGCACAGCAGATGCACATCATGTCCCTTAGGTCTGGAGACCTGGGCACACGCCTTTCCCAGGCCTGTCCTCTCCCACCAGTCTTATATATATATATATGTCTCCTGCTTGTTTCCCAGGCCTCTGGAGTCTCCTCAGTGAAGAGTTTCTCACCGCTCCACTGCTCAGTGCCGCCTCTCCAGGCTACCCATGACCTTGTGCACATGCCCACCCGCACACCGACCATGTTAGATCACAGAGTCGAACTCCTTTTCCATCCTCGCTAGACTCCTGCTTCTGAAGAGACCAGCTATGTCTTATTCATCTCTGCATTTACAGAGCCTATTCTTAGACTAGAACATGTGGCTGGAACACAATTTTCCAGCTTTATTTTCAGCTTTTCATTTTTTTGAGAATTACAAGTAGGAGACAGCCAACCAATGGAAACAGAACACAGTAGTTTAATTCACCTTTACGACTAATTTTCACTTCATGATTTGTTGGTATACCAAAGAACCACCTGGGACAATAATTCATGCAGTCTATATGAGACAGATTCACTGTACCTACATCCTGAACACTAACAGCCATGAAATCAAAGGCTTAGTAAACAACATTAAAATAACTACTTGACTATTGAAATAAGCGTCTGCATTTATAATCCTTAATAATCTTAACAATATTCTGGAGTATTCTTGAAAATACTGCTTTAAGTCAAGGTTTAACAAGTAATTGCAATTCTGGGCAGGCCAGATGGATAAAGGCACTTGCCACCAAGCCTGATGACCTGTGTGGGATGCCCAGGAGCCACACGGGAGAAGGAGAGAACTGATTCCCACAACTATTATTTGACCTTCACATATGTGCTGCAATCTATGCATACCCCCAACACAATAAATAAATAGATAAAAATAATAAAAAAAGATAGCATTCCATTTCAAGCCTCCAAAACAGACACTGGGCTAGGGATGTAGTTCAGTCAGCAGAATGCTTATCTACCACGCATAAAGCCCTGGGTTTGATCCCCAGTACCACATAAACCAGATGTGGTGGTATTCCTGTAATCCCAGCACTCAGGAGGTCTGAGCAGGAGGATCAGAAGTTCAAGGTCATCCTTGGTTACATACTAAGTTCAAAAGGGTATAAAATATGTGCTATACTTTTAAAAGCCATAAAACTATAAAAGTTATCATGTCCATCTATCCAGTATTCTGCCTGAAAAACAACCTGACAGTCACTTTGAAGTTTCTTGCGGGTTCTCCCTTGACCTCCTCCTACCGTATCTCCTTTTCTCCTGGTAGGCACTAACTTGGACTTTGTATTAATGATTTCCTTAGCTTTATTATTTTCACAATGGTAGACAATGAGACATTGTGAAGAAATGTTTAAAACCTACAGAGGCTAAATGTAAGTTCATCAGCTTGCTTTCTTTCACTCAAAACTGTTATAATTTATCT